TATAATTTCATCCAAAATGGGACTGCATGCAGCTCTAACCATTAACTGTTAAACCCACCCCCGAATGTGATCTTCTCCAAGTCCACAGGGATAGAACTTTGATGCAAGAACTCCATGTTTTGTTTTCAATTTAAAAAACTGTAATAAAAAAAATGCCCAATAGAACTCTGTTACAAAAACCACATTAATCGGAAGAGAAACTGACCTCATCTAAATAATTTATCTCTCAAGTACCAAAAAAGAAAAAAATCCACTTACACATATAACCAAATGTTATTTAATATCTTAAAAAGTAACACAATCCAAAATGGATATTTCACACAACACTACATAGACAACATGAACACAATATTACCATATGGAGGGACTTTCAAATATAGACTTACAAAAATCCCTGTCCTTTTTTTTTTTCCTTTTAACTTATTATACTAAGGATGACAAGGGGTCATCATTTACAATATGGTACACGGACACGATAAAAACCATGTTACAAATGTGCTGTTAGAAATCAGTAACATCAGGGAAGACGTTTCATGAACTGCAGTTATTTCTTATGAAATACTATACAATATAAACAGAACATCCATCTTGGATGACCTTTACAGCAACCAGAGACCAAGTCATTTAAAGGTTTTTTTTATTTTTTTTTTCAGTGCAAAAACATTTTATTCAAGGCAGTCTTGGCTGCAAAACTCCTTCCTAACATAGTGAATCCCACGTGTACTTAGTTCATTGACCCTAATGTAATCGTCGTAGTCAGCCACTCAGAGAAAGACACCTGCAGAGCCATGATCTCTTGGAACTTGGAGGGTCAAAATGAATTTTCTTCCAGAGAGTATCATGTCCCTGCTCTAAGGACTTTACGTTTGTAGCTGTTGACACTTACATGAAGGTGAACCTAGGACAGTTCTACTCCTAACTGGCATGCGTGCACAATACTACACAGTAGTCTGTTCTTCCAATGTGGAAAGAGTGGTGATGGAGTAGGTATTTGGGTGGGGGGAATGTGAGGGCAAGGAAGCAGAGAGGCTAAGCCTCAGAGGAAAGGAAGTCAGGGCTGCCAAGAATGTTCTATAGGATGGAGGTCCTGGAGCTGGAGAGGACTGGGATTGGAGGAGAGCTCAGGTCTCAGATTTGGTACCTCTTGTGGGATAAGAGTAGGGGAGTAGGGGGTGGGGTGGGTACCAAGGTCAGCCTTTGGACAGGGAGGTAGGCAGGTGCACAAGGACCCAGCCAAGCTCTAACCTTCCATTTCTGCCTTTCCAGAGCCATTGATACCTCACTCGGAAACACCCTTTTCCTAGTCAGGTGGGTGCACGTGTTCACAAGTGAAGCCAACAATGAGCCACTAAAGGCCTCTGACTGCCTGCGTACAATCACAAGACCGCTTAGTTCCCCTGGAGCTTTGCCGAATTCTAAATTTTGCAACCGTTAAGCCTGTGAACAATAATAAAGGCACAGGCATATGTATTATAGAAGCTGTCACCGCGGTGCCCCTCTGCATTGCTGACGCACGCCAAGGGGGCGGAACTCCAAACAGGGAGAAGCCAGTACCTTTTGCAAACACATGAGATCTACTAATAAAATGTCTCATGTGTATAATTCATGAAACGTATCCTAAGGAAAACTCCATGGGAAAATATCACTTGTATCATTAATACTACAAAACCTTCTTCAAGAAGGATGGGGTGACAGCTGATTCTTTTGTGTTTCTTGGCAAAGCTCAGACAATAGCAATCCCTTTCCGCCATGTTTAACTAGCCCAAAGAAAAACAATGCCTCCCATGGCTTTTGCATTCATTTTTCTTGTTTCTAATTTTCCCAAGCCTTAAACACGGGCCAAGGAGTCCCTCGCTCACAGGACATTATTGGATGGCTTTGACAATGGATGGGTGGGGGTGGGGGGTAAGGAAGCATCACCTCTTGTGTCTACTGTGGACTGCACTACACTGCTAGCTGGGTGTGGGACTGGTCTGTGGGAAAGGAGAAAGCAGATGTCAAAGACCTTCTATCTCATAATTTAACAAAACTCTTGGAACTGGAGCAGCTTCCCAGATCCTACAAAGCAGGGCTTGATATAGTCTAGTGAATGGTATGTAGCTGAGCATTGTGAAGAGTGCGTGATAAATATTTTAAAGGAAAATAAAAAAAAAACACACAACTGTTTCAGCACCTTCCACTGCCTGGAGCAGCCAATGTTCCTGAAGATGGGGTTTTAGCACAGAAATGACAGGAACCCAATGAGAAACTGTAAACAAAGGTGGATGTCTGGATTGACCTTCGATGACAGTGGCATTGGTGTGGATCTGTTCATCTCCCACTTTATAACTCAACCCCAGTTAAGGGGTGCTGAGGTGTTGAGATTTCAAACACCCATACCTCCTCGAATGAAATGGACAAGGTGTCAAACTGTATTTGTTTTCTTTATTAGCACACATCATAAAAATAGTATTTTAGTGATTTCTCACCATGGCCTATCAAACAGATAGAAAATAGGTCACCGAGAGCTGCCACTGTGTTTCTGGGTGATCTTGAGTCACTCCATTTGTTTGCTCCTGTCAAGCATGGGTATGACAAACGGGACCTGCTCTGCAAATGGTCCAGCTAATGCTTCCGGACCACTTGGAGATCCCCAGATGAGCTGCGGAACATTACCAGTCATTGGTTGTTAGCGCAAGCTCAGAACGCTACCCTCCCAAATGGTTGTGTGAGAACTGTGCCTATCACCGAAGTTACAAACTTTATCTTCAAGTACACTTTGTGGTGACAAGTGGTTAATCCAAGAACTTTACAAAGCTATGCTAACCTAAGAGAGAAAGGATGCTCTTCCAGGTACCGCATTTCTTGTCTTGGCAGTGACCACAATAGAATCTCAATGTACACTGTAACAATATTGGCTGAGTTTTCAAAGAGAGACATTTAGGAACAGCTGGTGTTCCCATCACTACTCCTTCACATTCCCTTTCTATTTGTGTTTCCTGAACGTGAATTCTCCAACATCAAAGTCGCGGGCATTTCTTATTTCTACCCCAATACTCTCACTCAGGTTCCCTATTGGTTTTCTCTATTGGGTGTGCACACATCCCATCCTTGGACTCAAGGTCTCCTGAGATGTGCAAAATATATCAAATGCTATGGAAATTACTTAGCACACATCTCAGAATGTATGGCACAGTTCTTTTAATAAAAAAGAAGTTTGGGCTCCATAGGGTAGCATATGATAAAAGCAGAGAGGCCCAAAGTGCTTCAAGTTGGCAGTCCAAATTTCTTACATGTCTTTTGTTACTGGGGAAAAACAAAAAACAAAAAAACAAAACCCTGGCAATCCAATTCAATTTCTATAGGAATTAATAACTTCCCAAATGTTTACCAAATGGCTCTTTGCCAAAGAGGTCTTTTTCTCTCTCTCTAAAAGCGGGAGTGGAGAAGCAGAGAAGACAGTAATTTTAAAATGCTCATTGATTTGCAACAAATCAAATGTGCTCTCGTGGGGGAGAAGGGAGAGAGAAAGAGGACAACAGGTTTACAATTGGGAGCCAAAGAATGTTGTGAACAAAAACCACGGCAACAAAAAAGTCATGAGTCCAATGGGTATGTCACCGACACACACGCAACGCCATGGCCTACTGCTGAAACACATTTGAAACATTGCTTTTTTTTTTTTTCTGAAGAACACACTTTAACACACTGCTGCCATTTCATCAAATTCATGGAGGTAGTTATATGTAAAAATAAAAATTACCATAAAGTAATATGCTGTATCATAATAATACATAAGTGTGCAAAATGCCGACAGATGTGTTGACCCTTTAAAGTTGAATGCCTCACAGAGATTCAACCAGATTCAGTTTTGTAAACCTTTCCGTTGATAAACTCTAAAAACTAGACATTGCCGTCATGGAACACAAAGCTCTGGTTCCAGTGGAGAATGCTATTGGCAAAGCCTGGAGAGGGCCTCAACTCAAGGCTGTGAGAGTAAAGAGTCTCATCATTTTTGACGAGACCATCTTAGACACATGTGCATATCCTATTTGCCATGTGCTTCCCACCACCAATGTTTCCTCTATTCAAGAATCCGGATTAGATTCAGACAAGAGTGCTTCTCCACGGAATGTCTGTTTATGTGGTATATCACCTTTAAAGCCCATCATTCTATGCTAATGGCTGCTGGTCTGCAGGAGATCTTTTGTTTATTTTTTTAAATCATGTGCTCCATAATGGTTAAGCAAATAGTGTACACATTTTGTTTGACTCATGCATTCTGTAAACCTGTTTCTTGTGAACTATCAAAACTTCATATTTTAAAGCTTCACTTAGACATAATTGTGTCCTCTCCTGCTCACTGGTCACTCAATTCTTTCAATGGCTACGTTCAGAGGGTCAATCAGAGACTAATGTATTGTTTTAACGGTCCTATTATTTATGAACTGAGTATGCCAAAATTTCAGAGCAGGTTTTTTGGAAGGAGGGGATTAATTTAGACCAGATCTAGGAATCACATGGTATATGGCTCCTTAAGCAAACAGACTATGTGGTATACTAGATACATGGCTGTTCTTTCTGGATGTTACTTAAGTAATGAGATAAACAAGGTGTTTGTGAAAAACTGAGGCATGCCTGGGAGGACGTAAGGCATGAGATTCAAAGCCAATTGCCCTAAGCATTTCAACCATGTAGTGGAGTATTGAGAATCGTGCTTACACTTCATTACAATAAGCACAAAAAAGAAATTTATACCAAACTCAAGGAGCCCAGGTTGACCCAACACAACTTCCAAATAGCAGACAAAATATGAGTGTACATGTTTTCAACCGCTTCATACGAGTGTGCTTCCTTAAGCACATTGCTAGTGAGTAAGTCTGACACAGGAAAGGAAGTAGCTCACAAACTTACCCTCATTACTGGAATCTTGAGTGAAAATATTTTCTCTTGATTTTAAGTTATTTACTTATGAATTCATTATAGTATATGGCTCCAAAACTCATCTGACACTAAACTGAATATAACTTTATTCCAGACCATTTTCTGGGATCAGACTTAACCCTTGTGCAGATGAATTTCCAGTACCTACAGATGTATGCAATGAATCTCAAAAAAAAAAAAAAAAAAAAAAAAAAAACCTGGGACTTTTGAAAAGTGTCTTTCCTATAGGACCAAAGAGTAATGGTTAGAATCCCCCTCCTGCAAAGCCTTTTGATACTGAGCATGGTGGCATAAACCAAAGCAGAGCGTGGAGACGTCATTGTAAAAGATGATGAGGAACTGCCATACAATCCACCCAAAACAAGCCTCCCGAAATCATTACAAAGCATCTGTAAACATTACTCTGGCATAGTTCATGAATGCATAATTGTCATTCGATACATTTTAGGGGAGTACAAATTAAGAATATACCACACCAGCAGAATGAGGACATTTTGCTGTTTATTACATGGGCCCATGTATATTTCTAATCAAAAATTCCTTTAAATGTTGTCTCTATAGATATCTTCCCAGGAATAAAAGGCCTGAAGTTCAACTCTCCCTAAATTTGTTCTTTCCTACAACCACTAAAAAATCATCTCCCACAGCCTAATTTAGGCATTCTATTTAAAACTGCATAAAATAGATCTATGTCCCTTCCATTAGAAAGAATAACACCCTCGGGCCACATTCTTCATTTGTATCATAAAGAACATTTTGCTTCCCAACAAACTAATCACTGCATTTAGTAGAGTAAGCTCGCTCAACCTAAGTGTCCCAGGGAGGAAGGCATCCTTTTCCAGTATCTCACTCATCCTCCGGGTCATTCACACACCCTTCTCCAGCACTCAGAGCTGTGCCTCCGTGAGACTGCATTTCCCTTCCTTTGTCCCCTTCAAAGGCCTATATTCCTGTTTGTGATTAGGGAAGGTGAAGAAAAAAAAAAAAAACCTCAAGACAAGCATTGAGTGAGCTGGAAAACAGTGAGAACAAACACCCTAACGACTTCCATCCATTGGGACCTCTGACCCACATCCATGGGCTCCTGCAGGAGTGTCGTGAAAACTCACAGTGAAAATGACTGATACTTTAAAGGACTCACACACAAAGGGCTGGGGTCCCTTCTGCCCAGTTTGGCATTGATTTTTCTCACAATGGACACCCCTACATTTACATTTTGTGGCGGCTTGGCTTTTTTTTTGAGGGGGGTGGGTTATCCAGGATTAGTTCCATGGCCCCATCCTCCCTAGGCCGGCCGGCCAGGAGCAACACATCTCTGTGGCATTTCAGAATGGAATTGGCAACTGTATGACATTGAAAAACGCATGTTCCACTTACAGTGTTTAGACTTTCCTATGTGTGCTCAGATACAGTTAGTGAAGCGGAAGTGTACGTATCTCCCCTACTGCTATTCGGTTGCTACAGAGCCATACGTGTGAAAAGCAATACTCCGAAATGAAGATTTTTTTTTTTGCCCTAGCCTACTTAGCAGCACAGCTCAAGTAACCCCCAACCTGTGCTTGAGATGTTTGCCTTTGCAGAGATGTAAACAGTCCCAATCGTCGTAAACGTTGCTGTATCGAATGAGACAGAAGATCTGAGGCAGAAGGACAATCATACACTAGTAACAGAAGCTTGCAAGCAGTTGGAAGGTTTCTGTAATTTCTCAGCTTCGCTGGTTGGGGGATCTGTACTGGCGCGGAAGTTGAAGCTTGGACCAGCTCCGCCGTGGGCGGGACTCAAAGCAGGATTCTGACGGCGGTTGCTTTCAACAATGCTTGATGTGTTGGAAGCCAGGCTCTCCCGAGTGCTAAAAGAGTAAAAAGGGTTGGTTTTGGTTTTGCTTTGAACATAAACAATTATATGTTGAGCCCCCGAAGGAAGACCAAGTGACGAAGCTAACAGATTTCCTCTGTTGGTTCGTGATGTCATACTGCCTGTGTTCATCCAGCCCAGGCTCTGGGACTCGTGTGAGACATGAACGGCAGCTCACCTGATTTCTGACTACCCAATGTGCCTGGAAATGGTTTTCCCTGTTCGTTATTTTCAAGAAAACGACTTCAAAAGGTGATGTGAGAGATGGCTGCCACATTGGCTTTAACAATGAACACACATGCCTGTGTGGTGATTTCACCAAAAGCTGGGCATTCACAGACATCATGGCTCTTGAAAAAGTTCCATGATTGTACTGAAGGATTCCATTCCTTCTCTTTGCTTTTAATTAGATGCCAATTCGGCGGATGGACTTCAAGCACGCCACTAGCTGGTTCTGCCACACAAATCGGAACGAAACTATTTGTAAATACTTTATACCTCCGTCTCTATTTAAACACTTCAGTTAAAACATAATTATACGTTCCCATAAAGAACGTTTTCTCTCCCCTTCGCCCACTTATTTGTGAAGCTGCAATTCATTCCTGACTCCCTTTGGTAGAAATATTTTTATTTCTCAAGAATGAGGTGAATTCAAAACTTCTGTTTAAGTTTTCTAAATTGGAGATACTTGAATTGATTTCACTGCTATAGGAGATTCAAAACACTCATGTTTGAAAAGTGCTGAACTGTAGAACTAACATCACTCCGCTGGGACAAAGTGGGGGCTCTATATTCAAGGTCCTCAAAGTGCCTTTAAATTTTTTTTACCTACTTTCCTAGAGCAAAGCAAGCAGAATTATTCTCAAAATACCCACCCCACTGGCACGATTCAAAGTTCAAAACATATTTGAAGAGTTGATACCTAGTCTAAGCCAGCTAAACCTAGTTTTATCAGATCAACAACTATGGGTCTAGACACTATACCCTCTCTTAGCAGCAAATTCCAACTGGGTATCAAACCTTGATCCCTTAGCAACTTGAGTTTTTGCGTCATCAAGAAGCCGAGAATTAATTGTTTAAATGGCCGTATGTTTACTGACTATTGAACAACAGAACGCCTAATACTCCCTTTTGGACATAGAGGATCAACGTGCTTAAAGAGCTAAGTCAAGTTCTCCCGTTCAGCTTCTGACAGCACGGGCACATCTAAATAATACTCCAAAATGCCACTTAGGATAGAAGGCTCTCGGCTTCTCTACTTACCTGCCTGACCTCTTTCCACAGAAAATCCATCAGAAGGTTTCCAGAGCTGTAACTGAGGTGTGAGGTCAGTGGAGGAAGGAGGAAGGGCAAAGAACATGTTGCATCGCAAAGATTTTAAGGTACATCCCATTCATTCCATTCACTGCACTTTTAATCAAGTGTGTGTGTGTATGCGTGTGTGTGTAGATGTGTGTGTAGGTGCACACCATGATATGTCTGTAGAGATCAAAGGACAACTTGCAGAAGTCGATTTTGGTCTTCTACCAAATGGAGCCTGGGATCAAGCTGAAGTGTCAGGCTTGGTGGCAAGTGTCTTTTACACCCTAAACCATCTCATGTGTCCATGGTAATAACGTTTAACAGCATCAAACTTCCTCACATCTATAATGGGAGAACTGTGCTCTGGCTTACCTACTTAAGAGAGACTATGAAGAAGAAATAAGCACGTATGTAGTAGCACATTAAAAAGCGAGGAAGGCGCCATTTCTGCTATACATCTGTCATATAATGAGCAAAACAACCACTGTAGATTAGGTTGGGATGCTATCACTGGTGACATTAGTCTTTGGGAAAATGAATTGTAAGGTCCAAAGGATATGTTTGTTTGTTTTTTTAAATAGCTTTTGAGGAATCAACTTAACATTTATTATGTACCTGTTGTATTTTAGATAATGTGCTTGGAACTGGAAACATAAACTGTTCTAACATGACACATGAGTTATATCTTTGGAATACGATGCCCTTGGTCACCTCTGAGCTACATCTAATGCAGTCACATGAATAAACAGGCACAGTGCTCCAATTCCTGCAAAGAATAGATTTCATTACAGCTGCCATCATGAGCAGGGTTTGGGACATTCACATAGAGGGATCTGGCTTATACTGATGAAAATCTAACAGAGATGGCTTTTTAGTAATAAAAATATTTCTCAAATTTAATTTTGGAAAAAAAATCAAATGGAACATAACCTTTTAGATGAGCTATTTAGGCCAGGAGTGGTGGTACATATGTTTAATCCCAGCACTTGGGAGGCAGAGCAGGTAAATTTCATGAGTTTGAGGCCAGCCTGGACCTTCATGAGTAGTGAGTTCCAGGACAGTCAGAACTATGTTGAAAGACTCTGTCTCAAAAGTGAGGAGGCTATTTAGGACTTTCTAGGTGGGACATTCACTAAGTGGCTCTGCCGTTCATCCTCTTTCTGGCACATGGTCTTCCAGAGTGCAGACTCATGGCTGCCTGAGTATCTCCTGTTTCTCAGCCGGTTTGAGAATGTCTCACATCTGAAACAGCGACCTTTTCATGTCAAGACTTTTTATTTTAAATATTATTTTTCACAGCATGTTTCGAGTTTCGTGTGTGTGTGTTTGTGTATGTGTTAATATTCTTTAGTTTCCACAAACTGGACTGAAACAATTGCTAACCATTACTTCCGGGTAAGCAGTAAAGCCTTCAAATGTAGAGAAAAACCATTTTTCTTGGTAGAATCATAATCGCTTAATGAGTTATTTTAAGGGAAGATCCCCATAAATGTCCTCCTTAGAAATCACACTCCCCACAGTGATGGCACACGGTGATGGCACACAGTGATGGCACACAGTGATGGCACACCACCTGATAGTGATATCTCACTGGAATACCACTCCAGTTGAAAACTCTGGAACTCCAATATTCTCTTTTCATACTCTTTCATGCATTAGGAAGGTAACTCACTGAACCTATAAAAGTGTATATATAAGTAAGCTTGTTACCTCACTTCTAGCCGAAGGGTCTTAAATATAAAACAGTAAAATTAGGAATTCTTGTATTTGTTTCCTGCCTAAGGTTTTTGGAAGATCCACATGTTCCCGGAGAGGAAATCCAATCAAGTGTTAATAGACAGATGCATGGTTAGTAGGGAAAGGTTCTCTCTCTTAGAATGAACTTCTTCCACAGAGACAAGGCATTTAACCTTTAAGTACCTTACTTGAAAAATTAAAATAAACTTCCAGAAGTAACTCTACTAACAAATTCTATGTTACACAGTCCATGTTTCATGAGAATATATTCTGTGAAGATACCGGTTCAACTATCTCATAAATAGGTCTTTATACACCTAAACAAAAGTTTTAATATTATATAAGGCTTTGGGTTAGAACCCACTCACTCCCGACATCTTCAAAGTTGTCTCTGGAGTACCACGGTTTACTGCCTAAGTCCAGGTGCTGAAGGGGGCAATGTGAAGGGCTTGAAAGTCGAGCAAGAAAGGCATTAGGCAAAGGAGTCTATATGATAAATAATGAACATAAAGACACAGGCAAGTAAGCCATCTTTTCCACAAGCAGTGCCTTTTAACTTTTATCACAGACCGTCAGTGATCTGGTTCCTCCTGCTAGGATTTTCAAGAGAGGAAAAAGCGTAGAACAGGAAAACAGGTGGATGAGGACAGAGAAAATTAATTGGAAAATAAAATCTGACTTGGGAGGAAAAAAATATTTAGCAAAAACACTTTCTTAAAAATGACCAGGTCCACTGCACCCTGGAATTTCTCAAGGATCCTTAAGGTCCCAGGGCAGACCTGGGCTCCTAGTCTCTCCTGCAGTTTACCAGAGTCCCAACTCTGGTAGATGTCTGTTAGACGTTAGACCACCTATTTATGTGTTAGCTTGGAAAACAAGGTTATATGACCAAAATAATAGCAAGCCAAGAGCCTGTCCTTTAAGAAATAGCAAATGCCTACTTGTAGAATTAACATTATAATAATCTCCATGTCTGGTTTTTTGGGGATAACGTGTCCCCAAGATACCCAGTAATAGGGTGAAATGATCAAAACCAAGTTCATCATAATTCTGTAACATAAATGAACGAATGAGGTACCTATGTGGGTACTTATGGTGATTATAAATATTATGAGGTCTTGAGAATTGGAGATGACAAAGACATGTACATCTCTCAGGAGCATTTCTACATCTTAGAGTCACCAATCTGGAGCAGGATTTAGAAGCATGATTTAGATCCCAAGTTGCTGTTTAATGAGAAGAAAGAGTTACGGAGAAAAACAGGAAGCGTGACATCCCTGGCTGTGTGTGTCACCCCTAAACAATGTCAGTGCGTGGGAGAGAGCCATCGGGGTTTTATACACTCAGGTATTGCTGAGCTAGCAGGACACTAAAGGGCAGTGTCCACACAGACAGTATCAGTTCTACAGGTTGGGGAATAAAAGTGCGGGCAACTGTTTTGATCTAACTGAGCTGAGGTCCCTAACTTTTGTGAAAGGAACACGCTTCCTTGTCTCTGTCTGCACAGGTGGAAAAAGAAAACATCTAACCAAGTAGAACAGACCACCACGCACAGCATAGGAATTGAAGCGGCATCAAACTTCCAGATCTTTTGTTAAGATTGTAAAACCCACTACTATTTCCACATTAAAGGAGTGGCCATTATACTGTACCAAACTACTCTCCACTGTTCTCCACACACAGACTATATTCATGGAATCCAGAATATTACTTTTTTTTTTTTGAAGGACTTTTTTAAAAATCCCTTCTCCTGGATGTCAACACAATAGAAGAAAAACACTGGGATGTGTTTGTCTTAGTCAGATCAGACTCTGATACAAGGTTTAGGGAAGGAACCAACCCACCAGTCCAGATTGGTGATCTCTACAGCTGCAGAAACATTTTTTTTTCAATTCCTGAAAAAGAAGTTAGAAACAGGCTGTTAACAACACAACTCACACAACTCACAGCCCTCATTCACAATCTGAGACTGTGAAACCAGTTATCTGCATAAAGCCCCAGGCCCTGGCAGGTATATGCGTATACAGAAGGACAGTTCTCCCTACCGTGGGGAGTTGAATCCACTGTCCACGGTGATACTGCTGCTGTCCATGCTGTCCAGCCGGGCTGAGTGGGTGGCTCTCTGGTTGCTGCTGCTATCAGTTTCTTTTGGGGTGAGGAGGGTGAGGTTCTTCTCAAACTTCCTCTGCAAGTCTCTTTCCTTCTCTCTCTCGAGGAGCCACTGCATGGTGCCCACATCATCTCTGTTTTTCTCCTCCTCTGTGTTTTTGGTGGCCCCCTCCTCAGAGTCATCATCGTCAGAGACGTTGTAATAGTCAAAAGAAGCCTCCTGGTTCCCTCCAGACTCTTGTTGACGCTGGGACGGAGGCATGGCTTGGGCCGAGGATGTCCCAAGGGAAGGTTCCAGTTTCTCACATCGGCCTGGCAGTGTGTCAACAGGTGACTTCGGGTGAGATTTGAGGAGGGACAAACTAGATTTGTGATAGCTGTTTACAGACAAGGTGCTGTGTAGAGGTTTGAACAGTGTATCTTTGCTGAATATTTCTTTCCTTTTGTCCAGGCTGCTGGGTTCCGCACTATGGTGTTGAACAAGACGGCCATTGGCCAATCCCTCTGCCACACCACCAGAGGCTGCAGGGCCCCCACCTGGCCCTTTCGGTGACTCCTCCTTGTGCCCAACAGGTTCCCTGGAAGAATGGGGGGTCTGCCTCTCAGATGGAGACAGCTTTTTTACCCCCTCCACCAAGGTCAAAGTGTCATGGTCCTCCTTATTCTTCCCTAAAGGTGACGGTGCTGTGAGCACAGTCTCGCTCGAGGTGTTGCACTGAAAGTAGTCATCCACAGCTGTTTTTGCCGGGCAAGGGCTGAGTTCCCCGTAGGACGCCATACTCTCAGGGGGTTTGCCTGGCTCCAAAAGGCTACAAGCACTAGAAGGTTCCTTGCTGCCACCAACTATTTCTGGAATGCACACCTCTTTATAGCTGGCAGAAGGAATATGAGCCCTTTGATGACCAATCGTTTGCGCAGGCCTTAAAGTACTGTCGTCGACGTATGATTGGCTTGGGGTCTGGTCATCTTGGCTGCAGCCTTCAGCCAGGTCTTCCGGAGTCCCGAGAGAAGAAGCGCCCAGGGGGCCTTTGGAGTTATCCATTGACCTAGATCTCTCCTTGGCCTTGTTGGACCTCTCATTCCTGGACCTCCGGTCCTGGGTATGGCTGTGGCTTCGGTGCACTTTGGAGTGGGAGCTTCCCCTGGAAGGTTCGGGAAAGGGCATCTCCGTTCTCCTTTTGGCCAGTTCGCCAGACACATCCCATTCTGGCGTCATGGGGAAATGGGACTCGATCATGTTCGTGTTGCTGTGCATGATGAAGTTGTCTCCTTTGTGTTCAATGATGAAGCAGCCCTCTCTGGGGGCCCTGGTTAGAGGGTCGCAAAATTCATACTCCCTCTCACAGGGGATATCCAGATGCGAGCCATCCGAAGGATCTCCTTTGGACACTCGCGTCTTGCTGTGTGACCGAGGCTTCCCGTGGGACTTTCGGTGAGTCCGGCTCTTTTTACTCCTTCCACTGTGGTGGGCGGAGGACCCGGCTTTGCTCCGGTGAGCTTTTTCTTCTTCAAGTTTCTTCATCAGTGCAGTGTGCCTCATGACATTTTCCACCGTCAAGTCCGGGTTGATACGCCGGATGATTTCCATCTCCACTTCCCGGGGGATAGTCGTGGGTGTGTCTTCGTCTCGCAGAGGCCACTCCTCGGGAGGAAACTGGGCAGAGAAATTGGCCAGCTGTTTGGTCTTGTCTTTCTTAAAACTCAGCCGGAATAACTTGAGTCCGAATTTTTTGGACTGCTTTTCACTATCTTTAGGTTTTGAGAGAGTTTCTGTCTTATAGGAGAAATTTATAGTACTTTTGCTTTTTTCAGTGGGTGGCACCTGGCATAGCGGAGGAGGGCAGTAAGGGTCTTTGCAGTCCTTGGCGGGCTTCCTCTGCAGAGTGGAGGCATGCATGCTGTGCACGTCTTCTCGGCAGCAGTGGCAAGAATCGCAGTGCTTTCTGGGTAATGTCCTTTCCCTAACACAGCCTGAGGCAGAGGGCGTTATGGTTCCTGGTTGTGGAGAGGTACACTGAGACCGGTCAGGTACCCTCTCGTCCAAGTGGTACCACTTACTGTTAGTTCTTATGAGGGAAGGAGTAATGAAATAAGTCTGTGGGGTCACAATGAAATAGCCATCCGGAGTCGGATAGATTTTCCTCTCCCGTACCAGTGTGTTTAGGGTATGCCGTAGAATTTCTTGGCTTGGGGTTGGAACACCTACGAGCAAAAACAGAGATGCTTGTGAGAGGGAGGAAGGGACAGGCTGTGGCTCTCCGATTTTCAGAGTCCTATTAACATTGCCAAATTTGAAGTATCACCTCACGACATTCAAGCAGGCTTCAAAGGTGTTTATTATGTTTAGTGTGAATCCCAGTTTTCTCTGCTGACTCCTACGAATATTACCACCTAGAGAGTGAAAAGGTGTTAGAACAGGAAGAGGCCTGGGGATAAGATGGGTGGAAGAACTCTTTGCCCAGCATGTGTGAGACCTTGTTTGGGTTCCATCCCCAACATCCAGGCAATTGCTACAAGACAGACAGGGAAGTTAGAGAGTTAGATTGCTATTGCTACAAAGCCTTTCTGGAGCATCATGAAAGAGAGACTATTTTGTAAAGGGCAGGAAAATGATGAAAAGTTGCATAAATTTTCAGAAAAAAAATTTGTTCAATAAGATAAGGGAGGTTAAAACAGCTCAATATCAGAGGGGAAATTTTATATATTTATAAATATACCACAGGCTGAAACCTTTACATGTATATGTATGTATGTATGTATATATATATATATATATATATATATACACACACACATATATGGAATTACTTTAAGTAAATTTTTTATAAATTTTATAAAAGGGCAACTAGATTTGACCATTCCTTTTCAAAACTTCTTTTAAGTTTGAGATTATAATAGAATGAGATGATTCACCCTTTTCCTTTCATCCCCTCAAGCCTTTCTGTATACCACACTTGGCTCTCTTTTTCAAATTCATGGCCTTCATGGGGGCTCACAGAGACTGAACCACCAACCAAAGAGGATGCATGGGCTGGACTGAGGGCTCCTACACAGATGTAGCAGATGTGTCTATGAGCTCCCTAACAAGTGGTGCAGGAGGCTGACTCTGACTCTGTTGCTTCCCTTTGATCCTTTTCCCCTAGCTCGGCTACCTTGTCTGGCTTCAGAGGATGAACCTCGTCCTACTATAACTTGATGTGCCAGAGTGAGTTGGTACCCAAGGAGGGGCCTTCTTATCTCAGAGCCGAAGGAGAAGAGGTAAGGGGGAGAGGTAGGGTGTGTGGGAGAGGGCACTGGGAGAAGAAGAGGGGGCTTCAACCAGGATGTAAAGAAAATAAATAAACTGAGAAAAAGAAACAAACCCATGTTTTCTGTTTTTGTTTGTTGTAAATATATATATATATATATATATATATATATTTATATTTATATTTATATTTATATTTATATTTATATTTATATTTATGCATACATATACTCTTAGTGAAAGAGTCTCAGTCTGGATTCCGTTATTCATGTGTATACTTTCAGAGGTGACATTTGGTATTGGATAAACACTTGGTTGCTCTTCCCTGGGGGACACCATTTCGCCCATTCTTTAGTAACTGGTAGCTACACCCATACGGTCTCACCACCATGACTACCCAAGCATGGGGTGAACAAGGACAACAACAATAGGCACGCCAAAGTGGATGGGGTAAAAACCATGAGGTCTCAACCCTGAACAAAGGACTGGACCACTCCAACATGCCTTGTAACTTTGAAACCCACCACTTTGCGTGTTGAAACTGTCTACTGCGGTAGTGACAGTCAGATGAGAATATTATCCTTGGTAAAAGTTAGCTAATGGAGGTGGCTTTCCTAGTGTCTGACTGCCGAGCCCTAGGAAGTGTCCACACACTAATAAGTGCCGCTAATAAATGTCCACACACTAATAGGTATCCCTAATAAGTGTCTACACACTAGTAAACGTACACTAAAACACTATCAGTTTGATCACTAAGTCCCAAACATCTGTATTTGCTAGAACATAAATACAGGGTAGGACACATGTCTCATTGTACTGTGGTGTACAAAGCTTCCCAAGTTATCCGTGTGAATCCTTAGGCCTTCTTTACCAGAACAGATAGAGTCAAGGAGAGAAATCCTCAGGAGAGTATAGATTCTCCAGGCTGCAGGCTACTTATTTTATTTTTTGAATATTCTGCATTTGTCAGCGTCAGGCACATCAAGGGTGGTGATATTTAAAGAATTGATCTGAATGGTATAATTTAGAAACAGACCAGATCAAATCACATAAATACTGCCAGTCCTTGACCCACAAACATGGCAGTTTTGCAGGGGTCAGCCATCTCAGTCAAAGCAGTACAATATGGGGATTGAAAGCTTAGGTTCTGAGGCCAGAGTGCTAGATTGGAAGCCCAGTCTATCTCTGTAATTGTGTTTTGATTGGATTGTTTATTTTTTTCCCTACCTCATGCCCTACTATGGTTTAGATCCAGAATGTTCCCTAAGACTCATGGGTTAAAAGCTTGATCTTTGGCTCATTGCTAATGGGAAGAAGTGGTACTTTTATAAATGAAGCTTACTGGGAGGTCTTGGGGCCGATGGGGCTCTTGAAGAGCAAAGTATGACCCAGGCTCCTTCCTCTCCTTTTCTGCTTCCAGGTCGTGATCTTACCACAAAAGCAGATTCACCACAGACCTAAAAGTAATGGGCCCATCTAACCACAGGCTGAACCCTTTCCAACGATGGACCTAAATGAACCTTTTCTTTTTGCAGGATTTAATTGTGATACAAAGTTGATGCCTCTTCACATCTTAAAATTCTCACACCCCCAGTGGTCCCCTCCAACTGACCTTTTCCTTTTTTGGAGATAGGGTCTTTGCAGGAGTAGTCAAGTTAAAATGAGGTCATTAGAATGGGCCATAATCCACTGGGAGTAATGTCCTTCTGAAAAGGGGAAAATGACACAGAGAGAGGCATAGGTGGAAGAGAACGACTCGAAGAGACACAGGTCAAAGATGGCCACCCACAAGTCAAGGAGAGGTGCTCGGGACACAGCTTCACTCACAGCTTTCAGAAAGAAACAGACACCCCTGCAGACATCTTGACTTAGGAGTTCTGGTTTCCAGAACTGTACATTGCAGCTTTTTTGCTGTTCTCCCTGTACCACTGTAGCAGCCCTAGCAGGTGGTAGCATTGAGGCAGCTGGCAACTTACGCTCTGGGGCATCTATTCTCACAGAGCTGCTGGCAGTTTACATGACCAGCACGTACAACAGTGTGTACCAGAGAGCACTTGCTCAATAAACACTAGCCGTTAGTAGTCCCAACTTTGGGTCAGGACCTAAGGAAACCCAGATTACCTTCCAAAGATGTGGTGTAGCAACTGGAACATCTGGATGAGCTGAGAACTAAGTCTGTGTGCTCTCAGTCTTGTCAAACAATGAAAATGGGATCTAATGCATTAGAGCTAGTCTGACGTGCTCAGGGAGAGGAAGTCTGTGGGCACAATGGTTGCTTAATGTAGTTTCTTTTTGATTAACTAATTTACCTTGTGTTACTAAAGAAAGTTGAGCTACTTTTTTTTTTTGAGAGAGAGAGAGAGAGAGAGAGAGAGAGAGAGAGAGAGAGAATACCAAATGTATAAGAGTACCCACAGAGGCTAGAAGAGGACTTCAGATCACCTGGGGGTAGAGTATCACGTGATTCGGTTGGGAGGAGCCTAACGTGTGCTGAGGATCTAACTCGGGTCTTTTAGAAGAACAACAAGCATTTCCAACTGCCAAGCCATCTCTCTAGCCCATGAATCATATTAAGGCTAGTCATTACTGTTGGTCTTGGAAAACCCACAGATTCATATAGAAGCATGAGCATGACATAACATTAGCCCTTAAGAAAAATTTCTCTAGTTGCTCCCAAATAAAGGGACAAGAACGCTCTGCATTTCATATACCTTTGATTGTCAGCTACATCAGTCAATCAACATTTACTTTGAAAACAACAATAACAAAAAAAAAAACCCACAAATGTTTGCCCCTTGTGATCCAATCTTTTTATATCTACCTCGACATTTCTGGTTCAACTGAAAGTGGACAATATTTATACTTACGTTACTTTTAAGCCTGACATTTCCAGTCATCTCACTAACCCTGAGTCTACTAGTTCTTCTGGTAGACACGTGCACAGTTCACCTGACAAAGTGCTGGTCATTTGCAGGCTTTATCATTTCCAGACAGTACACCTGTAGTGTATCATGAATCAGAACTTGAGAGAGCCAAGAACAAAAGCAAGCGCGGTAATCTCACAGAGCTAGAGCGGCCCCTCTCTGCTTTCCACGCCTTCACAGCCTCCAAAGCAAAAGCTGATAGTTAAAGGCTGATAGACGCATTGTGACTACGGGATGTCTCAGAACCACGTTCTGCCTTAAACCTGCAAATATGATTAATTCTCAGAACAGAGAACACACAGGTGTGTGCTTTATGCAAAACATCTTAGATTAAAAGGTTTTTGTTTTGAGATAGGACCTGTGTTCACTGTTTTGACTGGCTTGAAAGCCATGGGCTCAAACAATCTTCCTCTATTACCTTCAAGAGAACCTGGGACTACAGACACACGACGCCATGTCCAGCTTTAGACTGACATGTTTAATGGCCGTCACTGTGTTATAATTCTCATTTGTGAAGAACATGGGCTGCGTGAGAACTCAGGAAGATGAATCAGAGAGAACAGGAAATGTTCTGCAGTTAAGGCTAAGCCATCTTCCACCCTACATCCAGTCTCACGGTCCTCTGTTTGCCTGAAGTGAGTCAGCCTTGCTTCCAGAAAGACCCGATTCTAACAACTTAACAAGGATTAGCCCAGTGTAATTGAGCATTTATCCAGGATGAAAGGGTGAACGGTTCTTTAGAAATCTGAAAAACAAGTATTCTCTTAAGATCTTTTAAAAAAAAAAATTCTTAGGTGGAGGGTGTAGTTCTATGGTAGAAAACTTGCTTGGCATGTACGAGCCCCTGGTTTCAGTCTCCAGCATGGCTGTATTTCTCACCCCGCCACACACACACACACACACACACACACACGTGTACACACACACACACACACACACACACCACCGTACCACATACACATTACACACACGGCATACGTACCACCCACACACAAAAGCAAACATGAGTGTGCAATTCTGTATTGGAAACTGGTGCATAGAATTTGTTGAACTGATTTTCAAAGTTCAGCTCACTCATAGCAGTGAAGGGGATACAACAGATCCTGAAGTGGCCACCTCCTGTATCCAGGCAGGACTCCCAGTGGAGGGATGAAGACACCAAATCACACAAAACCTTCGACCTAAACTTTCTCCTGCTTCAAGACATGCAGGGACAAAGATGGAGCAGAGACTGAAGGAATGGCCAACCCTGACTGGCCCAACTCGAGATCCATCCCATGGGCAAGAACCAATCCCTGACACTATTAATGATACCGTTATGCTTGAAGACAGGAGCTTAGCGTAGCTGTCCTCTGAGAGGCTCCACCCAGAAGCCAGTGGAAACAGATACAGAGATCCATAGCCAAACATTAGAGAGAGCTCAGGAGTGTTGCAGAAGGAAGAGTTGGAGGAAGGACTGAGGAACCTAGAATGGATAGGGACTCCACAGGAAAACCAACAGAGTCGACTAACCTAGACTTTTGGGAGCTCCCAGAGACTGAATCATCAACCAAAGAACATACATGGGATGGACTTAGCCATGCCCCCCCCACATATGTAGCAGATGTGCAGCTTGGTCTTCATGCTGGTACCCCAACAACTGGAGCAGGAGCCTATCCTGTCTCTGCTGCCCGCCTTGTATATTCCGAGTCCTAGCTGGGCTGCCTTGTCTGGCCTCTGTGGGAGAGGATACGCCTAGGCCTGCAGCGATTTGAGGTGCCAGGGTGGGTTGGTACTCAGGGGGGCCTCCTCCTTCTCGGAGGTGAAGGGGAGGAGATGATGGGGAAGGGGCCATATAAAGTGGGTTCCGGGAGGAGAGCAGGACTTTGAAGAAAAAAAAGAAAAAACAAAAACATATACTATCATTTGTTTCAGAGTACTGTTTTACTAGGAAACTTTACTCTTTGAAATACCGATTCCAAAGTACTGAAAGATCACATTCTAAACTATCTTTCTATTTATTTATAAAACACGCACCAAATATAAGAATTTAAATATTTTAATAATACTTTGTTAGACTTCAACCCCCCGCTTTTTTTCAAATAGCAAACTGTCTTACCTTTAAAACAAAGAAGGTATTAAAAACCCTCCAGACTTCTACTGTCCCTGAAAATAGATTTTTTTTCCCAAGGAGAGCTTAAACAATGTTAAGTTCTCAATGATGTTTTGTCCTGACATAGCTAACGAAAAGCAACGAACAAAAGAAGGAGAAGAAAGGAAAGAGGGCAGGCAAGGCAAGAAAGTGTCATTTTTTATGAAATACTAGTTAAATGTTTAGAGCTATTAAGTCAAGTACAATGGTGTACATCTGTAGAGGCAGATGATTAAAAAGCATTCAAGGCCAGTGTGGCCTACACAGTGAGTCTGTGTCTCAACAAGCAAAAACTTAAAACTAAAGAAAAAAAAGAGCTATTACTAAAGAAAAATTGAAATAATTATGACTGTGTCCTGGACCTGGGTTTGTCAATGTTTTTCCATGAAGAGCCAATTAGTAAATCTTGTAGGCTTTGTGAGCCATGTGACTTCTGTTGGGAACTCCTCTGCTCGACTACTATGTCCAAGGAGCCAAAGATAATACAGAGACATCTGTGTTCCGATAAAACTTTATTCACAAAGACAGGGGGTGCAGTCCTTCTAGGCCTGCAGGCCGTGCTTTGTAAAATCTACATGGTGTCCTTGCAAATGTCTACCTGGCCAATAGTCACCAGTGTGTGCAGACAGAAAGGTTTGGTTGGTGCCTCTTTACCATAGAAGCTGGCAATGCAGGTACCACTTTAAGCATCATCGATTCCTTTTTTTTAGGATGCATTGAAACTTTGTGGTAGTATTTGTTGCTCAGCATGGATGAATATTTGGCTCTCGAATACCAACTCTTTGTTTTTGTCTGTTTCTTAGTCATGGGTGGCACGGAACTGCTTCTGAGAAAGACGCGTGGCTTCCTGTGAAGCTGTATAACTAACAACATGGAGACTTTAAAAGCAGCTGGACTGTTTGATGTCTGAAGCAGTAGCATAGGCATACTACAAGAAGAAGGATTTTATTTCATTCCCAGGAGGACAGCTTTGGCTGAGACTGTCACCCGGCCTCTTCCCTGGGGATCTATAGATCTGTATATCTCACCATCAGTGGAAAGGGCTGTCTGGCCGCTAGAAAAGAAAGGATGTTTGGGGATAATGAAATGCTGTAACATTTAAGATTACTCATAGCTGAATGGATAGGTTGATATTAGTGTTTGAATAGCATATACAATATAAAAACACTGACGTTTAAAAAGTGAGAAGGGCACACACCTTTAATCCCAACACTTGGGAGGCAGAGGCAGAGGCGGAGGCGGAGGCGGAGGCGGAGGCGGAGGCGGAGGCAGGAGGATCTCAGAGTTTCAGGTCAGTCTGGTCTATAGAGGGATTTCCAGGACAGCCAGGGTTACACAGAGAAATCTTGTCTTGAAAAACTAAAAACAAAACAAACAAACAAACACAAACCCAATAACAAAACAGGGAATGTAAGGGGGGAAAAGGAGAGGGGAAGTTAATGAGAAGGAAATGCAAAGTTTCTTTGAGGCAAAAGGTCAAGTATGGAGACCAACGATGAAGAGTTACATTATTAATCTTCATACAGTTGGCTCTTCTACCCTTTCTCTCTCTCTCTCTCTCTCTCTCTCTCTCTCTCTGTGCTTTCTATATCTTGACTTCAGGCCAAGGCAAGATTGCTTTATCAATGCAATATTCTACTTTATTAATGCAATATTAGGGGATAAGATATGACCAAAAGGTCTTTTTCCAAAGACATGCAGTATAGGCAAGAATAGGGCCACCTTCTGAGTCCCAGCCGACTCCTGGGACACCCTCAGACCTAGGACCTAAATAAATGCTTATTGTTGCATATCTCTGGCTGTCTGTGGTTGCTTATCATCCAGTATTACTGTAGCCAAACCTGATTCAGCCAACAGGTTATATGTCCTAACGTCTCTTTGAAAAGCTGAATCAAGTGTACCATGCATTCATATTTAATGTGATTCCTATTTCGATCTAGAAAGAGGGATAGTAGTCTTCAGGCTGGCAAAACAGGAGCCCCATAAAGTGTACACTGTCCATCCATTTATACATGAGCACACATAGAAAATTGCTTGAGAGACTGCACATCACATGGGAATTTGAGATTCTCTTGTAACCTTGGACTTCAAATTGCTGGCTGGGGGCACTGCACTCCAGTGGAATAGTGAGGTACCTCACTTGAGATGGGGCATGGGTGTTTAGTATATATCACTCCAAACAATTTTTCCCACCGGAATCATCAGTGACCATTTGTACTGCAGAGGTGCTATTGTCTTTGTTTTGCAATATTTAAGGGAAAAAAGAATGGAGGCTGGGGAGATGGCTCGGTAGTTGAGAACACAGCTCATTCAGATAACCCAGGTTCAATTCCCAGACCCCATATGGCAGCACACAACTGTCTCTAACTCCTAGATCTGATACTCTCACACAGACATATATGCAGGCAAAGCACCAAGGCACATAAAATAAAAAGTAAATTAAATTGAAAGGAAAATAAGTATTTTTTTCCTTTTAAAATGAAGTCTCGATTCATGAAGTAATCTTTTTTAAAGACTTACTGGTTCATAGCATGAGCATGGGGAACATGTTCATTTTTGACATTATTCATTTCTATTGTCAAACTCTTAAGACTAAGTGTTCCATCTGTTTCTGAGAACCCGGGGTTTATACATTTAAGGAAGACTCAGCTGCAAAATGGTGAGTGGAATCTTGGTCATTTTCACCAAAAATTTTCTTACAAAACTGACTTATTTTTTTCACCCTAAGAATCAAGTTAAATAAAGTATTATATTAAATTATAAAAATAAATTAAAATAAAATAATAGGTACTATACCTGTGGTACTATAAAAGACACTACAGCTAAAGGACTGGCATTATTTATTATTATTATTATTATTATTTTAAGTCATTGAAGAAAGGTGTCTAGTCAATTTGAGTGAAGTATTTTTCTCCTAGTGTTCCTTTAAAGCCCTGGAACTCACATCCACAGCCCCTACCCATGGCCTGTATCCAACAGCCCACACCCACAGCCTGCATGCAACAGCCTGCATCCAACAGCCACACCCACAGCCTGCATGCAACAGCCTGCATCCAACAGCCACACCCACAGCCTGCATGCAACAGCCCACATCCACAGCCTGCATCCACAGCCTGCATCCAACAGCCCACATCCACAGCCCGCATCCCTTTGGAAAGAGCTCGGTTCTTTCTCGTTACCTGGGAAACACGTGGTCAGGTGTTCCATCAGCGCCTCCTGGGTGACAGGCTTTCTCGCAGAGTTCATTGCCGAGATGGCCAAGCAAAGGATCTCCCCGAGTGGAATAAACTGTGACTGACTGATGGGGGACATACTGATTGGTGACACATCACCTGCAGGAAGACAAATTTGCAAGTGAGCGGGTTCATTAGAACACCCCACCATTTGTCACACACAGGCCTTCGCACGGGCACGCCCTCCCATGCCTCTCTTCTATTCCTCACACTATGAAGTCAATCAGCTTTGAACACCGAAACGTGCTGGGATCACAGCGGACTCCACTCTGGTGGAAAGACTTCCACGCACAGTGGATGTTCAAATAATCTCGGCAAGCAAAACTCCCCTTAAAAGCATGAGAGCTCGTTGTAATAGTTAGAGTGCTAACGTCTTGTAACAAACGAGGCTCTGGAAAATAATTTTTTATTTTATTTTATTAGCATATGAATGATTTATGAAACGGCAACTGTTCACATTCCTAGAAATGCATTTGTCGTGAGTAACGGTGACCCGTTCATTCAAATGCCGAGGGTCTTCATGTGTCTGACATCTGCCAGAGGAATCAGGAGCTCACAAAGAAAGAGAAGTACCCCTTCTCTGCCTTGGGACAGTTCTATTTGAGTGAAGGAGACAGCCACAGAGATCAAGGTCAGGGTGTTGTGGGACAGACAACACACAGCAGGAACAGCCAGCTCAGAAGAGAAGACAGGTCAGCAGCATATACCGCTGACAGAGATTCAGAAGTAGGACACTCTGGGGCCTAGTGTCAAGGGGCATGAGGGTGGTTGGTACCTGGGAGGTGAGGATGCATTAGGGGGTGTTATAAGCAAGTGTTGGGGAGCTTCAGAGAAGGAAGACAGCTCTGCAGGGACAACCATGGGACCACACATGAGTGTTCAAGGCTTTCATCCTGTGAGGAACAATGGTCAGTGGAGGAAACTTAAAGACTAACAAAGCAGATGTGAATTGAAGAAGGCTATGACGGCCCTGCAGATGATCTCCTGGAAGAAGGCAGGGCAGTTTACAGTGGAATAAGACCATGACCTTTTTACCTATTTGCCTGCTAGGTGGGATGGTGGAGACAGGGGAGGCTGAAGAGATAGCACTGAAGGGTGAGAGATGCTGAGTCCTTGAGTATCAGCCAGTAACAAACTTGGCTCTCTGGCTCTAAACTCTTTACAGTTTGCAGATGGTCCAGCTGGGTCCCAAGGATTCCTAGAATTTCCTAGACATTTCTAGGATGGGGATTGTTTGGTTTTGGACCTCAGGACAGGGGACTGAGGTACATATTTTACATACCAAAGCAGACCTGGCCTCCAGGTTTTCCCAGCATGCCTCAGTCTCTACCTGGCATACCCTGTCCCCAACCCTGAACTTTCCTGCCCAGGGACTAGGCTGCCCTTCCTACAGAGGCTCCCCTCTCCTGCTCCCCCTCCCCTTTTCCCTAGAGAAACTTCCCAATAAACCTGCCTTTAATATAATCTAATCTGGCTTGAACTGGCTCATCCCATCAGCGGCAAAGAAATAATCTATCAGGATGGCCTCAGAAGAGGAAGAGACCGGGAGAGCAAAGGGGCTGCTCCTGATAGCTGACTGCCACCTGTATGATACTTAACTCTGTAAGATTTCACTACGAGAGAAGTTCTACAAAACAGATGAAAACAACCAGTAGAATAGACTTCCTGTGGCCTCCTAACTTCAGTTACTGACCATATTTACGTAAAAATCTCCTTTTTCTTTTAAGATTTATTTAAAGATTTTAAGATCTTAATTTTTTTTCTTTTAAGATTTGTGTGTGTGTGTGTGTGTGTGTGTGTAGCACCCAATGAGGCCCCTGGAACTGGAGTTACAGGCCATTGTCAGCCACCCAATGAAATGAGCCGATTCAAGCTGGATTAGATTATATTAAAGGCAGGTTATTAGGAAGTTTCTCCAGGCCGAGTTCACTGGCCCCAAGGATTGAGGCCAGGGGAGTCACCATGGGGAGAGAGGGATTGGGGGAAGAGGAAGAGAAAGAGAGAAAAGGCACATGCACAGAAAGGAGGAGAGGGAAAGGGTGCTGGGAACTGAATCGAGATCCACCGGAAGACTGTTACTTGGTGGTAACTGCTCCGCTATCTCTGCAGCCCCTCCCTTTCTTTTTATGGTTGCTTCTTCAGCATGCTTTCTCACGTAATAAGCTAACACAGCTGGCCCAAGCCAAGGCTCAGATCAGCCTGTAACATTAAGCGATATCCTCTCCAGAAGATGTCTCAGTGCTCTAAGGTAGAGCAGCCTCCTTGCTGTCAGAACATGTAACGCTGAGCTGAGCTCTAACTTCTAGGTTGCAGAAGAATACAGAGGACTCTAAGGGATGAACTTGACCCCATCTTTGAAATGATGTAATGAATGAAGTTAGGGCAATGGAGATCCCCGAGTGCTGGGCTAAATCCAGCAACTGTATTGGTCAGAGCAGCAGAAACACAGTGTCCGACACTTGGGGCTTGTGTCCCTCCCCAAGCCAGGTCCAGTTCAGTCTCCCCTACCCAGTGCATCACTAGAGGGCTCCATCAGCTCTGCTCCAGCTTCAGATGGGTACGAGAGGAGCAGGTGATAGTACTTACGAACCAAATCTACCTTCTGGAAAGGCCCAAGGAGATTGTTTTTTAAGAATCAAAAAAACTAGGAAGGGATTTAACATGGAGCCCACAGACTCCGAACTCTCCTAAAGCAGACCCCTCTGACAAGCTTTCATAATGTCTAGTGGAGGACAAGCAGAAACACTAAATGTAATTGCTAGAAAGTACAGGTTGGAATACTCTGTGATTTTTTTGCATAGGTTACAAAAGGCTTCTCTACACAGATGCCAATTAGCAAAAGCAACTAGTTTCTGCTTGTCCTTCTGCTTCATAGTTCGTTTCTATACAACCCTAGTAGCTTCTTTTCATTCTCTCAGCCCCACCATGAGAGGCAGAAGCTGTGAGCACGCTTCAAGTACTTTTGGAAAAAGAAAAGACAACGCTCATTTCACTATCACAATGAACATGTACAGTAACTTTTAAAGTGGGATACAGAAGAAAATGAAATAGGATGTTCTAAGTATCCGGCTCCTGGCCATCTCATCGTTATCCCGCATTAAGAGCATAACATCCATTGCCAGGTCAGTCCACACGGCCTGTACCAGCGCTTCCTTGCACACGATCCGTATCAATACTTCCTTGCATTGGTCCCTGAACACCGGATGTAGAGACATGTCTCCCACATGCCCACTTCTACTGAAAACTCCATCCATCATCTCTCCCCCAGACTGTTAGAATGGCTTCATGTTTCTCAGTCTTTCTTCCTCGGTTTTTAATAGCCCCTTTCTACAGAGCAGCCAAGGTCCTCTCGTAAGAAGTCATAAATCATGCCATTTCCCTTCATGAAACCCCACAGCACTGCCTTTGACACTTGCAGAGAAATCCGATTCCTTATGAGTTCTACAGGACCTGCAGAGTTCCATCTACCCACCTCTGTGGGATCAACTCCCTACCCCTTCACCCCTTCACTCACCACACCTCCTTTATCATGACAGGCTCAGGACCTCTTATTCCTGCAGCCTGCTAGGTTTCTCTTTCTCTCTTTCTTTCTCTCTCTCTCTCTCTCTCTCTTTCTCTCTCTCTCTCTCTCTCTCTCTCTGTCTCCCCTTCCCTCCCCTCCCCTCCCCTCTCTCTCTCCCCACTCTCCCTCTCCCCGTCCCCCTCCCCCTCCCTCCCTCTCTCTGTGTCAGTATCTGTATAAGTGTGTGCCTGTCTGTCTGTGTGTGTGTCTCTGTGTGTCTCTGTATCTGTGTGATTGTATGCCTGTCTGTGTGTGACTGTATGTGTGTGTGCCTGTCTGTGTGTGTATGTGTGTATGTCTTGTGTGTATGTCTGTATGTGTGTCTGTGTATGTGTGTGTCTTTGTGATTGTGTGTGTCTGTCTGTCTATGTGTCTCTATGTGTGTGTTTGTGTGTGTCTGTATGTGTCTGGGTGTGTGTCTGACTGTATGTGTGTCTACGTATGTTTGTGTATGTGTGTCTGCATATGTCTGTGTATGTCTGTGCGTTTGTCTGTGTGTGTGTTTCTGTGTGTCTGCATGTCCCTGTGTGTCTGTATCTGTGTCTGCAAATGACTGTGTGTGTGTTTCTGTATCTGCATATGTCTGTGTGTCTGTGGATGTTTCTGCATATGTCTGTGTGTGTCTCTCTGCCTGTTTCTCTGTGTGTGTCTGTGGTGTGTATGTCTGTGTGTGTCTGCGTATGTCTGTCTCTATGTATGTGTTTATGTGTCTGTGTGTGCGTGCTCTTGGCCACAGGTGGTTGTGGGTTGAACCCTTCCAGGACTTGGCCCTTGTCATCACGTACATCACAAGTAAAACACCATAGCCTCGGGGAGCCCCACTCAGACCACCCAAGGCAGTGCTGTCTTTGCTCTCTGAATGTGTGTGTGCCCATTATACCATCTGCCTCATCCACTAAATATAAGCTCCACAAGGAAAGAAGCCTGAACACCCCATTCCCAGTACCTATACTAGGTACTGTTCACACTAGATACCCATTACATGTTTAGTAGACAAGTACTTTCTTAAACAATGTAATATAAGGAGTACTTTTAGAAAAACCAATTTTAATTCAGATTTTATTAAGCAATTACAGAACAGAGAACACATACACTAAACCATTGTTTGTTTGTTTTTAAGACTCTCCCTCATTAATTTCATGACAGATGGCCCCCAAACACAGTATTTATCATAGAAAAAAATCATATATTAGGTGAAGTTTAGGATACGAGTGTGAGATCTGTTAAGGAGATCATGTTAGAGATCTCAACACAGCAAAGCACCTTCGAAGTTATCAAGATTTCCTGGGGATCTTATTTATAGCAACATGACTGACAAGCCAAGTAGTCACTCTTAAAATATGCCACAGGAAAATTCCTCCAAATGCTGGAGAGACAGCAGTTAAGAGTGCTTGTGACCCTTGCAGAGGATCCAGATATAATTCCAAGCACCCGTATGGTGGCTCAAAACATCTTTAACTCAAGTTCCAAGGGGTCTGACCCCCTCTTCTGTTCTCTGTGAGCACCAGACATGTGTGTAGTGTACATTGATGTGTGC